ATATGCCAGTACTTCTGCAAAAAAATATAGGGCATTCCATCGGGACTGGGGGATTTAGTAGGAAACATTGAGAAATTGCAGTTGTTACCTCATCAAGTCGAAAAGTCTGCAAAGCCTTGAATTCATTCCTTTCGATACCTTACGGTCCACCTTGCTTAACACTGCCTCTAACTCTGGGTTTGTGGTCTACTAGACGTAAACAGATTCTTAAAATACCCAACAACCACTTGTTCCATTTCATTCGAATTTTCACACCATCCCCCATCTCCATTCTTGAGTTTATAATTGTGTTTCTTCTTCGACGTTGAGATGCCTAGGCATTGAAAAATGTTGTATTTTTATCCCCTTCCTTCATCCAATGAACTTTTGATCTTTGACGTCAATAAGTCTCCTCTATATCAAGTAAATTATTCAATTCTGACTCCACACCTTTAGCTTGTTGCCTCGAGATCTCTGTTATACTGCTTTCTTTTATATTTGTCAGCTTGTCTTTCAAGGCTTCTTTCTTAACTAGGATCTGACCAACATGCACTGATGCACATGTTTCCACTTAAGTAACTCAACTCTGAAGTTTTGTATTTTCTTTGTGACCCCATGAGCCCCTGGAATATGTATACTAGAATTTCAGGCCTCCTCAATAATCTCCTCACATCCCTCTCTTTTCACCTATGCCGCTTCGAACCGGAACAATTTTTTCCTTGACGCCACGCTTAAGTCAACAACCCCATTTTACTGTCCAGTAAATTTTGTAGTGGTATGACTCTTTCGAGAATTTATGACAAACTCTCGAGTTAGGAAATCTAGTAATCCATGCTAGGTTCGCACACACACTGTCCAGTCTTTCCCACACAGTATTAGGTTCCTTCCAGTTGTTGCACCAAGAAAAAGAAATCACACATACCCCAAATCCATCAGCACGTAGTTGTCCAAAGCTTGACAAAAATCTCTCATTTGTCATTCTGCCCTTCTTCCTCTCCCTTTCTTTTCAGCTTGTGAGGCTATTTTGTTGAAGTCCCCTGCATAGACCCAAGGCATATTATTTCTATTTCTCAGATGGGTTAACAAAGCCCAAGTATCACTACGCTTCGATGTCTCTGGTTCCTCGTAAATTCCTGTCAACCTCCATGATCCACTATCACCACCCTCATTAACCACAACATCAATATGCCCATGGGAAAAGCTCTGCAACACTACATTTAACTCTTTTTTGCCAAAGCAATGCTAAAACCCCTGAATTCCCTTGCGATTCTATTGCCACTCCACACAGACCAAACATCGTTTTTAACAGCTCTATTTTCTCTAGTATTACACTTAGTCTCCGATAGGAAGACAAAATCGGGCCGCTCTTTCTTTATGAAAATAGCGCATGTCCTAAACTGTCCGAGGATGCCTTAACCCCAGCAGTTCCAACTAAGTAACGATCGGTGGGACTGGAGACCAGATCCCACTTTTCCTCTTCCATTTCTACCATAGATAAAGCCCTTAGTTCAGAACTTACCCTAGCTTTTTTCTTTGCATTCCTTCCCAAACTTGAAATTCGAACCTCTTCTTCACCTTGCTTTCGTTTGTCGTTTGGATCCATCTGGGATTTTGTTCAAACTGGAGGTGTAGAACCCTTCTTCTTTCTTCTTCATTTCTTCGTAACTATCGGGTCTTGATTGCAGGTGATTTCATCAATTGTCTCAGTTCCTCCCAATTTAGGTAGACGTTTGGGCTGGGATAGAAAAGAGATGGGAGAATCCATAAAATCTTTAATAGCCCAATGCTCCATCCTGTCACTTTCTGAAACCGGTTGGCTATTGCATACCTCTACGCCCCCCCCCCCCAACTCCATCCACTAAACTTGGGCCCTTAACTATGGCCCAAGTTCCTCTCAAACTATTTTTCGTCTCTAAAGGAATATCCCTATCATTTGAACTGCATTTATTCACTGGGATTATGTAATCAATTTTCTAAAAATTTCCTTCATCCATTATCTCTGTTTCTTTTAATAAAGGAATTGATATGTTAATTGACGGCTCCCTTAGTTCCACTAACATTTCTCTTTCCATGTTCTGCCTCCCACTTGTACTCTCTATAATAGGAATTTCTTCATTTTCGGATATTGGTCCCTTCCATCCCTTGTTATTTGCCTCATTCACCGCCTTCCTACTTTTGTGAGATTGCTCCAAAGATTCTAGTCCACTCTCCGGAGAAACACCGCCAGTCTTCACCCCTATGATTTTTCCACGCCCGCCTTTTGGCTTGTTATGTTCTTCAAACCTCTCCCACTGGAGCCCTCAATCAAGCCCAAACTACATTGGTCCTTTCGTTATTGGTATTGAAGAATCCAGGCTTGATGAGCATTCTCTTTCCCCATGGCCAAACCGTCCACAACAGCAACAAAAATGCGGCAATCTTCATTCTTGAAAAACACAGTAAAACTTGACCTCCCCTTCCCTTTAATATTCATCCCTCTAAGAAGAGGATTCTCAATATTAATAATTACCCAAACTCTCAAACATCTTCCCCATCCTACTCCGTTTATCAAATTCGTTTCAACATAACCTCCTATCTTATTGCCTATGATTTCTGTAGTTTCTTGATTCATTCTATTGAATGGAAAATTATAAATATGAACCCAGAAAGGACATCCACTGAACAATACTTTGGATGCTTGAACCGAACCATCATACTCCTTCAACAAAACTAAATGGTTATCAAAAGACCATGACATACCTCTAAGAACTCTAATCTTGTCCAGCATATTACTGTACTGAATGAGAAACAAATTGTCACCAGCCTCTATAAATTCCACTTTGATAGTATTCCAAACCTTTTTCATCGTAGATTTGAAAGCCATCTTGTTGTAAAGCTTAACCGACAAAACTTTGCCAAAGATATACAACTTGCCTTTCTCCCCAAGTTCACCATCTCCCTGATCTAGAAGATGAACTCCAAGACTCTCCTTCTTGCCAAGTATAAATTTGCTCCAGAACTGTTGCATATCCTCGTCCATTAAAGTTTCTAGAAGACCACTCATCCCAAAGGAAGAGACATTTCAGCAAGCCAATCGCACTAAGCCGAGCTGAATGATTCAAGATCTACACACATAAATAGACAAAAAATAAAAGAAAAGATGAACCAATGTGAAGTCTTTATAAGAAACAACCTGTAAAAACCTTATTGGCAATAAAGGTTGAGATACTCTATCAAACGACCCTAGTAGGAGACTGGAAAAGAAAGAAAACCCTAAAAACAAAAACTTCCATTAGTTTGACCTAAGGAAGACATCGACTCTATAAGACAAAGAGAAAACTCTACCCCCTAGAGAGAGATACTAAAATCCGTTTTTAATCTTACTAATAAGTAGTTGAATCCACTTTTTTTTAAAACTCCAAAATACCCTTCTAATGGCTTAAAAAATAATCTTCAACATTAAATCAGTTTCCTAAATAGTCATCCTTGATTTACACTTAATAGAAGATTTTTTTCCATAAAATTTAAAATTCAAATTTAAATTTGACATCACTACAATCTCTATCTCTCTCTCTCTCTCTCTCTCATTTTTTTTCCTGAGAAGACTATGGTTAATTTAATATTTGATGTAACTATGCATATTACTATTTTTTTTATGAGCATGTTATTATTGATATTGAATGTTACTATTTTTTTGAAATATCAATATTCAATGTTACTTTTTTTTGTTGATTATGTTACTATTATTAATTTTTTCAAATATTGATATTCAATTTTATTATTTTTATTTTTGAATGTTACTATTTTTTTGTGTTTAAGTGATACTATTTTAATTCTTAATGTTATATATATATATATATATATATTTGTGTGTGAGAGAGATAGAGAATTTTAATATTAGTCAAACTTCTAAAATTTAAGAATTGTTAGTTTTCAATTTTGTTGTGATTAAATATAAATAATAAGAGTATTTTGGACAATATAAATTAAAATAGACTTAATATTAAACAAATTTTTTTGATGAACTAATCATCAAATAAGTCCAAATTTTCCCTTTTAAAAACCCTTTCAACGGTCACCTCTCTCTCTCTCTCCTCTCTCTCCTATCCATTAAAAAATCATAGGTAGACATCTTTCAATGTTAAAACTTATAAAATCTTACTTACGATCAATCATATCATAACAAAGATTAAATGAGTTAGCCATATTATCCATTAAAAACAACATATTGCTGAAATTTAAATATAAAAACTTAATCACTAAATTTGCATCTTAGAAAACAAGAAGATTAATTTTTAAGTAAAATAATATCATATGATATATTTATAATAAATTTTAAAAGGACCTCATTTAAGGCTTTTGCATAGGGCCTCCATTTACATCGAATCAGCCCTGTCACTACCATAACAAATATTTTCCTTAGTTTAATATAGAACTTGTTTGTTGTTTCCCTAAAAAAAAAATGGAAAATTGAATTCCTCAGCCAAAAATTTCAAAAGAGTAAGAATACAAAACAAGAAAATAAAACAAATGAGGGATTTCCCCATGCCATTATCACTTTTTTTGAATCTTTATATTAAATTTTTATTGTGACGTGATGTTGATGTGAATTGATTTTTTACGTTAACATCGTAATAATTAGTTTTTTAAAAATTATGGTACAATACGATTAATCGACATGAATCGATATAAAGTTAAGTAGGTTTGAATGAAGTCTTAAAGGGTGCAGGTGGTAAGCGGGGGCGAAATATGGCGACCCATTTAAATTAATAATTATTTAAATTTTTAAATCAGAATAATATATAATTTAATAATTAGATCAATTTTAAAAAAATTTAATAATTATTTTTTTATTATAATAATAATAAAAATATTTATTAAACTGATTAAAAAAGTCGTATCGGGTAATTTATTTAATAAACCAATCATGTTTGATTTATAGATTTTCACCTGCTTAATTAAACGTATCGTGCATGCATTGAATAATTTTTCACTCAAACTTAATTAGATCTGACACGAATCTGCTTAACTCGATACAGTTGACACCCTAATAATAACTTCATTCCTTTATACAAGACCCATAACTTTTTGAGCAGGCTGGCTTTTGTTGCCCATCTAGCGCAGACCAAAATTGCATATCACAATCGTCTTTTGTTAACATGGTGGGGTCTAAATTCCTCTCAATTCCAAATTTTGTCAAGATGAAATGCAAATTTCAAATCATTGACAAATTTGTAGAATACTATTGGGGGTCCATGAGAGTCATAAACTTGATGCTTGACCAAATTGATAGAATTCAACATTAGTCAAATTAATGCTTCAAGGGTTTAATTTCAAGAATCAACCTTTTTAAAAATGGTTAAAATTACCTACTATTTACCTGTTCTCAAAACATTAAATTACGCTAAGATCAAAGAGAGTATTAGAAGAGGAGAACTCGTGAAGCTACGAAAAGGCTAGTTGAAAGTCTTAAGAGAGATACACGTAGGAAAAGAAAGGAAAACTAAGCCAATTAAAAACACGAGCCACATGACGTTTGTTTTCTTTATATACAAGAGAAGAGAAGGGAGAAACCTTTTTTTGTTTTGCGACCGATGTTAAATTTTATCTTACACATCTTTTTTTGTTCTTTATCTAACATTCACATCAATTCAACAAGGGAGCTTGCACTCCCAGCAGTGCTATAAATGCTTCTTGATTAGTGTGAGTAACATATATTTTTTTTATTGTGTAACCCTTTGTATGTACATTTTTAATGTTTAAATAAGACCTCGGGTTAAACCGTGAATCAAAAGGCTTAACTCAAGTCTAGCCCAAATTTAATTTGGGTTGAATTTTTGTACTGTATTTGAATTGACCCGTTCAAATTATACCCGGAAAAAAATAAAGATAGAATTGAGATCCTCTTTGTTACTCTATCATTTTGTTGTCACTCAAAATATATTGTGGATCAGTAGGTCTATCTCAAAAAATATCTAAGTCTACTTATCTAACAACAATCTACGTTGATTTAACACAACAAAAATTAATAAAAAAATTATCAAAATAGCAGTGCAGGTAGAGAAATAGACGCTCTTTCTATAATATAAAATATAATAGACTTCAATTCAAATAGATTCATTCAACAACTACTAACATTTTTTTTAAAACTATTTATATTACATCGTGCTTTCAAATACAGATTGTTCTTAGTTTTTATGTAACGCAGACTAGTGTTTTGTAAAAACATTAAATAAACACAAAATCTTTCCATCCCAATAACTTAATTGAGCTACAGAGGTTTAGAGGTATAATGTGTCGTATCATATTGACTTTATACTATGTCGTTGTCGTCTCGTGTCAAAATTTATTCAATTCATATTCCGATCGAATTCATTTTGAATTCTCAAATAATGTATAGAATTGTGGGGCTAGAAAATTTTCCCCCATTTTGGAAACGGTTAAATTCTCACTGAAATGATCATGACATCAACCTGCCTCCTAAGTGCAGCTCTCACACACATACTTACACACAGAGCCAGCTCTTCCCTAGTCCTAACCAGTTGTTCTAAATTTAATATGTTAAATAACCACCAAGTTCCAACTAATTACAAGATTGCCATTCTTATTGTCAATTCACCAAGACTCAAAGACGTTGGCCCTCGTGGAGTCTAGTTTGTATGTGTGATCACAAACTAGACCACAAATAATGTTACTTGATTTTTTTAATGGAAAAATTTTTTGGGCCTGTTTTATAGCTCAGTGCGTAGGACATATAAAAAACTGTTATTTTAGTGATTAGGGTTTCATCGAAGTGTATAGCTGCTCTCTGTAATTCTCTCTCTCGATAGTAAAATTCCTAAATTTTGTGAACGTAAACAAATTATCGAATTACGTAAAATTTGTGTGTTTTGTTCTTTCTTGTTTTTTATTATTTTATATTTTTGATTTGTTATTTGATTGTGTGTGTTTGTCAATAAATTTAAAACGTATTAAATCCAACAGAAGATTGCTGGTTAAGACCAAATTCTCCCTGCATCCTGTACCCTACACCACGTCCTTTTCAAGTCGTAATATCATCAACCATTAGGGGACCTTATGGTAATTTCACATCTCAATCAGAAGGTCCAAACACCAGATTGGAAAAAACAATATCCAATGGCATTATCGATAATTTGGTCCAACCACAATGGCATATTTTAAGCATTCACCATAAATACCTGGAAACCTGCCGTTCATCCATTCTCCTCTCTCCTCCCTATATAAACTCAATCCCCTACCCTTCCCTCATTTCCCCTCTCTCCCTCCCCTAACTCTCTCTCTCTCTCTCTCTCTCTCTCTCTCTTCCCATCCAGGCGGCGACATGTCTGAGTCCACTGTCCGTGCAGCTTAGATCCACCCATATCGTCAGATTCCGGCCACACCCCCTTCTCAATCCCCTTTTCACCACACAACCCAACAAATCCATTCTCTCTCCCTCTCTCTCTCAAAAATAATTTTTTTTGTTGTTTTTTTCCAAAAAATTTCCCATTTCCATTTTAACCCCTGCTCCTTATATTTACGTTTTTAACCCCGTTAGTTATTTTAAACTTTTTTTTTATCTGTTTTGGCGGTGTTATTTTGCTTAAAGGAACATGTATTTAAAAACACTTGCTCAAAAAAAAAAAGTGTTCTGAAAATTTCGTATAGTGCTGAAGTGGCGTGTGTTAGATCCAAAACGGACGGCTAGGATGAGCCATCATCACCACCCACGTCGAATCTTGACACCTGGGGCTTCGCGAAAGCGGAAAGAGACCGAAACGTTTTACGCTGTACAGCCGTTGAAACTAACGGCGAATCTACAACCTTCGGTTAGTGCTGCGACGTCGTCTAAGGCAGCAGAACCGGTTTCGTCTAATCAGCTTCTAGCCGGTTACATGGCTCACGAATTTTTAACCAAGGGTACGCTTTTGGGTCAGAAGTTTGACCCGGCTCGGGCCGGAGCTATGCCGGTTTCCACAGCAGACCTGAAGAGGAATAAGCCGGGTCAGAGTTTGGAATCCGACCCGAGTGGAAAAATGAAGCCGGAGCACCAACGTTATGCTGACGTGGCGAATTTGCTGAAGAGTGAAGGGACCCACATTCAGGGGATAGTCAATCCTACGCAACTGACTCGGTGGATTCAGATGTGACATGCAATGTGGGGTTACGTGGAAGCGTTTCATTGGTTGGACCTTTTGGTGGTCTAAGGAAGAGAAGTGCAACCTCCCTTAGCTTGTAAAAATCTCCTCTGGAGGTGACTGGTGAGTCATTGGTGGATGAGGTATTGAGGTGCTCTTTTCTCTCTCTCCCTCTCAAATATCAACCAGAGGGGAACGCCAGAATGTTGCGATATTCCGGCGACTTCTATCTCTCTCTCTCTCCTCCATCCCTCTATACTGTGCTTTTATGCCGTACTTCATGAGAGAGAAACACTTTTTTTGTTGTTATTTTGATATCTTTTGTTTGTGCCTCGTTCTATGCTGCTTTGTTTACTTGAAACTAAAGAGTGGTTCAGTTGGTTTTTTTTCCTGATGTGCATGCATGTGCGTATGCTGAATGCATGTGTATATAAAGGGTAAGATTACAGCATCGACGTTATTACGAATCTATACAGTACGGACTTGATTAAATTAATAAAATCATTTAACAGTTGACGATATTCTCTTAAAATTATTTATATTAAATCGTATATTCAAATACGAATTATCCCATAATAAAAATAATATTACAACTCAATTCGATATAATTACAGTAAAGCGAGGTTTTTTGACTGTACAACACAGTTATTATTTCTCAAAATAAGATCGTTTTATGTGCAAAATAATATTATTTTATGTGAAAAATGGCGGGGAGCAGGACCCTTGCTTTATAGGAGAGAAGTCAGACCTGCCTTTTTTTTATATCAATTTTGAATATTTTAAGAATAATGCCCATGTTTAGACTTTAGGCCATGTTCTAAGTTAATCAAATTTTGAGATCAAATTAATAGTTTAAATATCATGACAGTATATTATTTAGAATTTGTATTGGGGTCCAAATGATATGACATCAAATAAAGAAGTCTAAGTCAACTGTCAGGTCATTTGGACTCTTAATTTGGTCGGTGTAACATTATTATTTAAAAAAAGTCCAAAATTTTTAGATGCATAGTAGTCCAAATAAAAAAAAATAGATTCATAAGATTTTAGGCCCTATGAAAATTTAAACCTAATCAAAAATAAATTTGAATAGTTTGGCCCATGAACCCAACCGAAAACATTAAAAATACACCAAAATAATTTTTTTAAAAAAGCAAAAGTTAAGGGTTAAAATAAAATTCTAATTGGTTAGTTAAAACACTCCACTCGTTTATAATCATTCTCTCTCTCTCTCTCTCTCTCTATATATATATATATATATATATATATATAGTAAACTGACACTTTCTCACCTACTCTTTACTAAACACAAATCCTCCTTTTTTTTTTAACAATTTTTTTTATTTCTATTACAAAAAATATACCAAATAATTTTGGTTTTTTATTAAACTTGAAACATTAAAATCAATGGACCATGATTATTTAAAATTAAAATGATAAAATCTTCCTTAAACTTGGCTATCACAAAAAAAATATTAGGTGGATTAGTAATACTATTAATATAAAAAGATATGGTAACTAAATATAAAAAATAATAATAATTTTAATCTAAAAAAAGAATAAATTTTAAATAAAAAATTATTAATATTAAAAATACAAGCCTCATTTTTAATTATCGCTTTAGACCTCAAATAGTTTTGAGCAGCCCTAAAACCCCACTATATAGTCAATCTATCATTTTTCATCTTAACTTGATTATAGTTATTTGTAAATCGACTCACATAAAAAAGGTCGAATATTCTAATTGTTCTTCTTCAAGCTTTCTTTATTTGGTGGGTTTTAATTACTGCTACAGCTCTTTGAGAAAATAGGTATACGAATTGTAAATTAAAACACATGAGAGAGATGGGTCAGTGAAGATGATGGAGATAGAGATGGAGAAGACTGATCATGTGAGTGGTGGGTTTGGAATGGACCAAAGTATTTTTGTGTCTCCATATAGTATGTAAGAATATAATTACCTTTTTGTATTCAAATTTTGACTTTGACTTTGAGTTTTAAGATATCCACTCACAAAATTGTGGCGTCTTTCCGTCACTTTAGACGAAAATATTAACGGCACCAATTTAGCCTAAAAACACAATGGAATTATATGCTTATTTTCAAATCATAGAAGAGTCATATGCAATGCAAAACGACACACAAGGGGTAAGCTGAATCTTTTCCTTTTTCAATAATGACGAGTTATCTCAATACTAATATCTCTTTGGACTCGTGAGCACAACACTAACCTCGAATGTACAACACTTCCTTTGAATGTACGTAAGAAACTGAAAAGTTAAGTGCAGTGGTTAATAAAGTTTTTTAACAAGATAGAACTGAATTTGATTTATACACACAACCCCCTAGTAGATCATAATACTCAGACTTTACTTCATGGTCTTCTTCTATAGTTTTGTATTTTGGCTTTGTCGACATGACTTCCCTACTATATGTAGAGATCTCCCACTAGCTTGGTTCTCATGGAACTAAAAGACAAGGGCATAGTATGATTTTTGGGATCAAATCATTTAGAGCCCAGAACCACAAGATCTTAGATCAATTACTAAAAAACAGGGTAGGAGGATCTTGTACTCTGCCCTACAAACTACGAAGAGATTGACATCTCCGGGGCTTGCCAAACAGTCAAACCTCTAGTCATGGGCACTCCCCACCCCTCACATTGACTTATCTTCATTCTTTTTTAGCCAAGGTGACCCCCCCCCCCCCCCCCTCTTTCTTTTCTTTCCCTCTCTTCTCTCTTCTCTCTTTCTTTGCCTACACACACTCGTAAGGATCACAATGTGCAGTCGACTTGCTAATAATTTGAAGAACCACCTCCGTACCGTAAGGAATTTTCAGTGGCAGAAACGACTAATTACAACAAAACAAACAGTTAACCTAACTAAAACAAAAGCTGTAATGCCTATTAAGAGGAGACCTTTTTGCTCCTTTTCTGAGAAGTCTTGGCAAGAGCATCACAAATCTCTTTTTTTCGTTTATTGTTATTGTTGTTATTGTTTTGATTCGTGGGAATGTTATTGTTGATGTTGCCACCACCCATGCTTGCAGAAGTTTTTCCCTGAACCTCCAGAGAATCCTTCACAAAGAACTTCAACTTCCACAACGTGGATTCAGTCTGCAGAAAGCACACGATACAGTCAATGACTCATGTCGTGTACAACATAAAGAGTGTAAGCATCTATGAAAGACAGACGGACGAAGTGGTGGAGGAAAAATGATGACCTGAGCATCCATGTCAAGGTCCACCTCTTCAGCCGTTGGTTGGAAGCTTGGGTTATTTTGAGCAACAATTAGCAGTGCCTTATTTAGATCTTCAGCAGACAAACGGGTGAGAGCTGTCCCAAGTCTTCTTTTCTCTTCAGTAGTCATTTTTCTAAAAGAATCATTTCACACTTAGCATTTATTAATACAGGGATACTAAAATAATGGAGTACACAGTTGGGTCAGTCTCACTCATATCCTCAAAGGGTACTGTGTATTTCAATGTAAGCATATATTGCAGATGCAAATAGAATGTGTAAGATACACAATTTTCATGACTAGCATCCTATGTATATAAACCGTGCTGCACTGATATTGAAGGAAATTGTAACTCAACCGGGCCACTTACCATAGCCAAAATGACACCAGCGATCCAATATTGCAGTTGACGATATTAAATGGTTAGCAATCTTAGAGAAAATACCACCCACTTAATATCTATTTTGCAATTTTCTAGCTATTGTAATGACTACAATATAATACCCCATATTATCAACTTTCATCCTCAGCACATCTTTTGATACTAATGCATGTCTAAATAGTGCAAGCCATAAATGAATCCCCGGGAGAAGTCTAAGGCCCAATCCTATGGAATGTTGTTACATTCTCAGCTCAATTTGAGGTTCTTTATTGATGTACCATTTTCCCACTCCATGCTAAGTTGCTAACAGTTCCATAAAGGGACCTTACATAGTGATGTATATGTGTTTCGCAAACTGTGAACTAAATATATAAGAATTTGGCCATCTATGACTACATGAGACTGCTGGCCCAAGAAATAGTTCTTTAAAAATCAACTTTTGTAGTACAAGGCAATGCAGTCATGAATGGAAAATAAAATGACACAGTCAGTTGTGATTTTCCCTCACTTGAACCATACACAAAATAAGCATGATTTTAGAATTGCACCAACTACTTGTGACTACCTGTGCTCGATATTGTGACAGAGTAACTAGAGTAACATATGAAAGAAATCAACACTTGTGAATAGGAAAATGTCAATTAAGCAGTTTTCATTGACTAATGTCAACAAGATTTAAGACTTTTCACATTTTGAAGTTCATCCAAACCAAGGATTAACAAATGAATATTACCAATTGCATCAAAGTTTACTAATCTCCATAACTCCAAAGTAAGAAAAAAGAAAGGGAATAACTGTTCCGAAAATTCAGAGATATTGATGGAGCCATTGGATTATATATGGTGATGACATTAATTATTAATAGTCTTAGAATAGGAAATATTTAAATAAAGGCAATTAACAAGGGCTGACCCCAGTCAATGTTGGATCAAGCTGGGAGGAGAACCAGGCATAGACCTATCAAGTGTTCTTATCACATAAACTAACTGACCTAATAAACAAAATTGTTTGATGGTCTGATAGTCAAGCTTTTAGCACTGCAGAATGGTCTCTAGGTTGGAGACATTAAGATAACAAGAAGTAGGCCTCCATGTCAACTCCCTTTCAAGTATTTTATAACCAGTTCAAAGTTTTTTGTTGCTATAGATGGTGATAAACAACCTGTATTGCGAAGATACAGCAATCCAAATGTCAGTTTCAGAACTAAACACACATAGGAGATGTCAGATTAGGAACACCCAAAAATAGAGGAAAAAGTAACGCATACTATAGTATCAGAATTGGCTATGAAAAAAGAAATAAATTCTACAAATGCAAAAAAAGCCCTAAGACACCTATTTGAAAAAAAAAAACAGTAGCTACCTTTGCAAGAAAAGTTGTGACCATGTTTACCATCTATGGATCCAGATTACAGGAGGAACCATGGTTTTCTTGAGAGCCTACAAGGTGAAGTCTCCCTAATTCTACCGAATCATTTGCATATTTGAAAGATGGTTGAAATTTCTCAATGCCCAAGAAACCTTATTAAAGAAATGACCATAAAAATGACATAGATAAGATTAATGGGGAACTATTGCACACCATCCATATCAATAGAGCTAATAATTTTAAAGGAGAACCAATGAAGTTGAAAATCTGTTTAAGATATTAAAATGAACCTGGATTTTTGAAGCACCATTTCTCTGAGTTGTTCCAAATGCGTATCAACCTCATCAAGCTGAAAATGTTTCAAAACAATATTTTAAAACCGTTCCTAGACTGTTTACACTTGACATAAATAAGCCAATGGGAAGATCTAGATAAAAAAAGATCAGTAATCCAAAACTTGGCTCTGAAAATTTTGACAACCTCAGCACTTAAATCCCTAGCCATTTTGGCATGAGCAGCCTCCTGAGCAAGCTGTGTATCAAAATGTGCCTCTGCTTCCTCCTCTTTTCGCCTTTTTCCCTGCAGGTACAAAGTTCTGAAAGATATCGCATGATCTTGAGATGAAAAAAACAGATGTCTTGACTTGTATCCTTGACTAATAAGGGAGTCACATACTGAAAATTCAGAGAAGTCAGACACTAAGCCCATACTCAGATATTGATTTTTACCTCTTCATCAACTTTCGGCAAAAGTTGCAGCCACTTTTCCTCAAATTTAGCCAACAAAGTTTTGGCCATCACATGGACATCATCCCTTTCATCATTATATTTCATAGCATTCTTAAAAATCAGCCTCACATCTGCACATATTTCTCGGACGTTCTTATATCCAGTACCATCCTTGGCCTCCATTTTCTTTTTAACAGTACTAAAGTCCATGGGCTTCTCAATAACCTAGCATACACCATCTTAAACAAATTAATGGAAAACTAACATTGGAAAAAACCTAAATACAAAGAATAGTTTGAGAATTACAAAAGGCTGGCACAGGTAAATCAGAGGAAATTCAGACAACCAGAACACAGAAAAATAGTGTTCCAGCTGTATCTACTTCATTTTCTTTCTTACTTTTTAAAATATAAAATGCTTGATAAGCACCATAAGTTTGGTTGTTACTTTTTCAAGAGGGGAGAGAGAGGAAGTATACAACATGTGTTTAACAATGAGGACCATATCATTAGATGATCTGAAAACTGACATAAAGCTACCTCATAGTAGTCGTGCAAACCAAGACCTACAACATCCACGGGTTGCATAAATGGCCCTGCCCACTTGTGTTGAGTGATCTAACAAGTACAAGTAGTGCAAATTTGTTAGTGATTTACCAATGAGAATCCCAAGTCTTGACATTAAAAGAACAGAAGTGATGAAGCTCCATGGCAAACCTTTAATTCAACAGCAAAGACATAAATACATTATATAATATAAGATTAAGAACAATGGAGAAAGAGATCAAGCACAAAACTCTTTCCATAGAAATAGGTTATGATATATGTACAGAGTCCATAACCATGGCAAAGATAACAACATGCTTTGTCCAAGAAAAGCATTTTGGTCATTGTATTTCAACAATTTTTGAATGTAATATTGAGTATCAATTGCTACCAAGAGTCTAGCCAAGGAGTATATCTTGTAAGGGGAATTTGTGCCAAACTTTCCTAGAATACAAGGCATATAATTACAACCACCGAATAATAAAAAATAAATGTGCAAGTATGGGGCTTTGTAGAGAACTTATTCAGTACGTAGATATGCACTCCAACAACATGACAATATGATTTTTTAGGCAACAGTCATATTTTGCTGGCAATATATTTTTGCGCAAGGATGACAAGAACCTAATAGCTCCTTCATTGTCATGCATAAACTTATAGCATTTGACTACTACTTCACAAATTATTTAGCATATGTGAACATATAAAAAAAAGACAACTTAGTGCACGAAACTTCCACCACTACGGGGTATGGAGAGGGGCGGATGTTCGCCGCCTTACATCCACATGCAAAGTGGCTGTTTCCGCAACTAGAACCTGTGGCCGCTAGGTCACAATGAAATAATTTTACCGTTGCACCAAGGCCCACCATCACATGCAAATGCATACTAGCCAGTATTTTCACATCACTATCACATAAAGGGGTGCCTCTACCTCATCCCATCATATTTCTTCTTACAAGCCTTAGATTGTTTTTTTTGCTATTCCTTCTTAAAGTATCTCAACTCAACCTAATTCAACAAAGCTTTGTCCCAACGTATCTATGTTATGGATATGTCTATGACATAGCCAAGTGGCGGCATTTAGAAGAATACATACCAAGACAATTTCACGAAACAAAAAATGTCCTTGCTCAATATAATAGTATAAATTCAGGAAAACCAAAAACGTAAAGAAAACTTTCAGTCCATCCAAATGATTCCAAGTAAAAGATATCCAAATCATTGAAAAGAAGCAAAGGTGCAAAACTACTCACAAGATTATCAATCAAAATATTATGTTTAAGCAGCCGCAGTCTAACTCAATATGGAAGACATCTGCAGAGCATTTGTGACTACCTGACGTAATATTGTGCCAAATTGACGTATAAGTTCTTGCATTCTCCTTGCAGCAGCTGCTTCTCTATGTGATGCATCCTGCTGCCGCTTTTTGAAACAAGCAATCTGTTTCTCCTTATCTCTGTCTTTCATAATTGAGCTACCTTTAGAAGTGTTCAATTGCTTTTTACTTGAGATAGAGTAGAACTGTTCAACTTTGTTCAATTGTTCCTCAAGCTGACAAAAAGAAAAAAATAAAGCATCAAAAGCATTAACTAGAAAGATTTTTATTCCTGGAATGCCTTGCTTTTTTTAATATCATGAAGCAGATTACGGGGTCACTTAGGCACTATATCAGCCATCACAAATCAACTACTGTGTAGGGCATACAAAAAAGTGCTACATGGAACAATTACAAATTGGATGATGTAGAGTCATTAGAATCGTTAAGAAAGGAAGTGAAAACTACAATCTCAAAAACGATACTAAGAGAAAGTATTAAAATTTTTATCAATAAGCGGTCTTGGTGTGATTTAGAAATTGGCATATGCTTTTCGGACCCAAATAATAGGAAAACTTTTGATTGAAACTTTATCTAATCAAAACTAATCTGTTAGGATGTGCCACTAGAATTCCAAACTTTCCAAATCGTGCCAAAGGAAAAGAGATTATGATGGTGGTACCATGGTGGCCTGTGATTGCTGACACAAACAAGAATATAATTGCTACCCTGGTGATGGTCCCATTACTGAAAAGTGAAAAAAGCGTTGTGTTTTTATTTCTGGTGGCATGGGTGGCTAGAGATAATAACAGACGGGTGGTTTTGGACAATGCAGCAGTACTGGCAGCAATCACTGAATTTGAGAGTCAAGTGAGGTGTGATTTACAAATAAGTTCCAATTTTAAAGTCTAACTAACTATTTACTGCTCAAAGTATCACGAATTCAGATCAACAGCATACAATTTTAAACCTGTATGACAATGTAAATGACTTAGTTTTTCTATTGAACACAAACAGGCCAAGAGAAAGATACCTAATGTTACAACCAAACAGATTAGAACTCAAAATAATTCTAAATTATTAGCAGCATTACTTTACCAATAAATCTTACCTCATCAACCTTTGTGAACATTTCATCAACACAACGCTTGAAATCCTCCAATTCAGCAGCATTGCCGTTGGTTTCTTCTGGTCCCCTAATCGTGACATGTGGAAATGATGTATTCATTGCTTCCATCTGATAAAAGGAAAAAAATAAAGGAGATTAACTGCAAGAGCATAATTTCTGAAACCATGCAATATCAGGTAAAAAACAATAAGAGTGATTCCTCTGCCATTGATATCATATGCAAGAATCATTCCCAGATTTAGAAAAGATGTGAAAGGACTCTAATGCTATGTTTAGTACATGGTAATGATTTTAAGCTGGAATGGAATGAATGTGGGAATGAAATGAGAGCAATAATGGAATATGTATTACCATTCTAGTGTTTGACAACTATTTAGGATTCTGCGTTGGAATGGAATGCACATGTCATTCCAACATTTGCATAAATTAATATTTTATTGGAATCAAATGAAATTTAACTAAAATATTTTTATGGAAATAAAAAATTATAAACAATTTTGAAACAATAAATAAGATACAATGCAAAGCTAATAAAATAACTTAACCAACAATTTCACCTAAATATAGTTCGTAGATATTAGCATAAAAAATAAAATAGAAGAAAAAAAATTGGCATAATTCTACCTATCTACTATTCTCAGCCATAAACAAAAGAGAGGCAAAAATAAGTTCGTTAATCATACATCATCCAATATATGAATTATAAGGTTGCAGTATACTTCAGGCTTTGTGCCTCGTAGTATACTTATTAGAAAAGCCAAGCACCTACTTATTAGAGAAGCCTAACATTACTTGTTTTAAATTGCATAATACATCAAGTTTCAGCACTAAACACCTTTGCTACCATATATGTCAATTTTCAAAGCAAAAGATCGATACAATTGCACAAAGGACACGCATTACATTAAAAACTTTGGGTTCAACTTTCTAGGTTAAACCTCAAGTTCATCCCCAAATATTTAACACAGCATAAGCCATTTAAGAATTTGCACTCTGCGTATCTTACATTCAAAAGAAAACAATAAAATTCTCACTCAATACGTCAACGATTAGAAATCGAACCTAATAAAAGAAATTAACTCAAACAAATATATAGCACCAAACCCAACTGATTTTCAGATGAAACCAACCAAAACTCATAAATTTCACCGTATAGGTAACTATATAGCTCATATGACTCTATCTACACAGATGGCACTGCCATCAAACCAAATAATAAATAACATCCATCGACATTTAATAGTCATACAAATTGTAAATCGAATGCAAATTTTACAAAACCTAACAACAGGCAACAATTTTTTAATCCACCACAAAAATAGCGCATTTTTTATTTTTTTTGTGTGTAATTATAAGTTCACTTTAGCCTGAGCATCGTGCCCCTGAGTTGCCATTTACATATTTAGCCATCAGATATGGGTTTTACCATCCAGTTGTATTTCATTAGATTTATAATGATGCCTGGTAGATGAAATGGCTTGAATCCTTTTAATCTCCACAGCAAGGATAAAGGCACAATAAATCATATTATTTGATGAGCAGGCACATGCGTTAATGAAGTTCTGCAAAGGATAGAAATTTCACAAAATACTTCAACTCTGATACATGCTTCAACTAAATGAAAGGGGAGTCCCTTGGAATTGACCACTGACAAAATTACTAGGCAGCTACTGAGTGAAGGCCGGAAACTTTTCTGGTTAGGCAACCAAGCACAGCTGGCCTGATTTAGCTTTCCTTTTCGATATCCCTTTCAGACATTTTATCAAACAATTCGAATGCCTAAAGTTTCACTGGATCACGTAACTCAAGCAAGACCCAAAAAAAAAGCACGACGACTACGATAAAACTCACTGAGTTACCACCATAGTGTTCGAACATGGCATCAAACAACTCACAAAATGAAAATACCTAGTCGTATATGTAAACATAGAGTAGGTTCCAGAGATTGATTCATTTTGAAAAGAGAATAGAATCCAAAAACCCTGATATTCAAGGTTTGGATCAGCAATGAGTCCGTAAATAGAACCAGACATTACCTGAGAATGGTTGCTAACGTTGGATTTGAGCAAATCTAGGTTGTTCTCTGTCGCCAATGAGGTCCTTTGCTTCACAGAAACAAAGAGGAGAGGCAGAAAACAGTTCAGAGGGGATGAGGGTAATAGTGGAATGCCTAGAGCGTTAGTGAGAGGGGAGGGTGAAGAAAGGAGAAGAGAAGAGAAGAGAAGAGGAAACAGGGAAAGAGGAGGCGTATCTGGTTCTGTTAGCAGAGAGGTGATGAGAGGAGAGATAGAGGGATCGGGTTTTTTTAGTTCAAATGGATTGGGCTTATTCTCGCGTGGGTTAATTGCATTAGTAGAGGTCAGTTTTGATTTTTGAAATATTAAATATATTTTTATGTGGTCCATTAAAATGATAATATTTAAATTATTAATAATTTTTTATCATAAATTTATCACATAATATTTAAATATAGGCAAAAAAATAATTTAGATACCTTTTGACCAAAATTTGAATAACTACTAAACAATATGGAATATGAGTAGCTCGTCAAAATTTAAATAGCTCAAAAACTATATAATTTGAGTAAAAATTTTGTCAAGAGTTATCCAAATTATTTTTTTCTCATTTATATAATAAAGTAGAATGAAGTTTGAATCCAAAAGACAAAGAGAGGTTCAGATCGTTTTGAGACAAAATATAAACACATTCAACGAATAACTTAATCTCAACATAAAAGACGGTTTAGATCATCTCAAAAATTTTGATACAACAGTCTACAGTTAATCTTGAATTTCTTTTCCCGCCTCATGAAGAAGCCTCTTATCGTAAGATTATATACTCTTATCGTTCATACGTCTCTATCTTAAATTAGAAAAAACACAATAATAACTCAGATTAAATTCACTTTAAATTAAATGATCTAAATTTCATCTAAATTCATCAAACTTAATCCAATGACTCACAACACATCCCACACAAAAATAAAATCTCACCAAGGGCAGAGCCAGAAAAATACTTTAAGATGGTCACATTAATAAATTTTAATTATTTTTTTTATCAATATTATCAATAACTTAATTTAATGTAACTGTTATTTTAGTTGTAAATTTCAATGCTGAAGTCTAATTTCAGGGGTGCATTGAATTATGTCATCAAATTAAATCTAAATAGCATTTTTTTTTTTTTTTCAATTGACCATAAAAGTTCATAAATTCATATTTACTATAATTATGAGTAAAAATTTATTAAACATAAAAGTTTAAAAAACGATTTGCATGGAATGAACAAAAAAAAAATAAAAATAAATTAATTAAAATTTCGTATGAGACTAATTATTATCATTTTACAATTAAATCTGATTATTGTTTATCATTTAAAAGAATTATAAATCAATAATATCAATAAATATTTTTTTTCTATATACAAAATGGTAATAACAGTCTTTCATTTATTACTCTGTAATTTATTACATTATGACGCTTATTTTTATACAATAATAAAATAATCCTATAATTTAGAAAAATGAACACGATGTGTTTAAAAATTATTCGGACATGTCTGTGTCTAAAAATTTAAGAATAATAGTAATTACATCTAATTCAAAATTTAATTTTATATCTTAACCAAAAAAAATATTCAAAATTTAATTGGTAAGAATCCAATGGTTTGTGACCATTTGATGGATCGTTATTAAATGTAGAGACTCACTATTAGATTTAATATCATAATATATTAGTTCTAATAACATTATTTAAAAATTAATTATTATTTAAGTAGTCGTCTATCTTAATCGATATCACAATAATACAATAATAAGGTGGATACAATTAAATATGTCTAAATTTTATTTTAAAAAAATATATATTTATTGTAAAAAAATTTGAGAGTGGACACAATTAAATATATCTAAATTTTATTTTAAAAAATATATATTTAATACCAAAAAAAAAAAATTTGAGTGGGGCACATGCCCACCTTGGTCCAAGAGTGGTTCCACCCCTAAATCTCACCCAATTTAACTACACCTACATGCTATTCATTTTGTCTAACACACAACCCAAACACTTTCTCTTTCTCCCATTAATTGTCTCACCCTCTCTTAGTTTTTCAAAAATCATTGTCATCCTCTTCAGTCTTTCGTCTCTCTTCCCCCATTAACCACTCTTCCATCCAAATTGTATTGACAGTGATCTAACCTCCGGAAGTACTCTCGCTAATACCCATTATTATTTATCGTTGATGATTTTTTTGGTTTGATTTAGTGGTGTATGTTATTACAATAGTTTATTGTTTTTAATTTTTAATGTTCTTGTGGTTTCGTTGTGGATGTATTGTCATTAACTGATTGTTGTTAAATGTTATATGTTAAAAGTGTATTGTTTGTACCTTGATTTAGGTTGGTTTTGTTTAATTTCTAATTTTACAATAAAATTTTGCATAAAATTAAAAATATTTCTATTAAACACACATAAAATACATAATATCTCTAAGTTTAGTGCTTCTTTTTCAAAGTTTGACAGTTTAACATTTGCCCTCAATAACTGTATACACGCCATCATTACAACACAAAAATCAGTACCTAAATGGACAATGTCACCATTTTTGGACATATGAGTTATTTAGTATATCAATTTTTTCAAAACCTTTGGTATAATATTTTATTAAAAACCATTATATACTTACTATATAATTTTTCATCCTTCTTATTACAAACTGATTCATACCTAGAGTACACTATAAGTAGATATTCTTATCACACATCTCAGTATCGATGATTGATGTTTACTTCTTATTTATTACTTCTTATCAATCAATGAAGTTTAAATTATCTTTATAATCCATAAATAAAATCATCAAATTATTATTCATACCAAAAATAAATCACTAATGTATGAAACCTATAGTTCTCAGAAAATTAAAAAAAATTCAAAATTCAAGTTAATTAGCAATTAAAAAAAATTAAGTGAACAATACAAAAAAAAATAAGATACCAATTGCACCAACAAAAAATGTTCAAAACTAATCTAATCGCTATGTATTGAAATTATTCAAACATCCTATCTTTGTGTGTTGAAATTTTATAGGTAACATAGTGCCTTCAGGCACGGGAATGACTAGTATTTAAATATTGCGTGACAAGTTTATAATAAAAATCGTAAGCAATTTAGATATTTTCTACTAGAGGGACTACATAGAAATATATTCAATACTTCAAAAATTAGAATGATGCAATTAAAATATTAGAGATAAAATAAAATAAATCATATACTTTAGGAATTTCTAGTACAATTAACCCTTAACGTGTAGGTGTAGGTTGGAATGACAAACACCAAGTTATATTTGGTTGGTGGGATTACCTACTTCTTGGTGGCTTGAGATTTTTAGCATTAGGGTTAGGGTTAGGCTTGAAAATTTTCAACTTGAATTTAATTTGGATAAGACTCGGGTTAAGAGTTTGGATTCATGGTTTAAACCCGAACTCTACCCGAATTAAGAAATTAGGGCTTAATCCGAACCTAATCCGAATTCAACTCGAATTCATGTATTATACTTATATAAATAATATAAAAAAATTTGTAATTATTATTATTATTATTATTTAAAGAGAATAAAAATATGATTTATAAGGACTATAAATGGTAAAAAAGTTTACACAACTGATGTGGATTTTGGTTTTATATATATATATATATTTGTGTGTGGGGGTGGTGATGGTTTTATATTTCTATGTTTGAAGACTAGGTTTTATCTTCATTGTTGGCTGGTTTTTTGGTATAAATTTTTTTATGGGGAAAAAAGTGATTTGAGTATTTGTTGAAGTGCTGCTAATTTGCTTCTTGTTATCTCAAGATTTTGAAGACTAGCTTTTTATTTTAGATTGGTTGCTTGCTGGTTATGCAATGTTCCTCCAATAAGATTTTTTTTCTTCTTAGATGTCATCTTTGTTGTTGTTTTGAGATTTAATTAGCTAAAGACTGTATTTTTATATTTCATATTTCAGATTATGTGATTAATAGTTGTGCATGTTTCCTCTTAACAAACAAGGGTTTAAAGAATTGATTAGGGTATTGCGGCTTTTGTGATTTGGTTCTTGTTATCTTAAAACGAGATCAATAACATAAGCATTGTCATTGATCTTCTTCAAGATCTAAAAGGAACCAATCTTCTTCTAGTTGAGCTTGTTGTAAGATCCAACTAGTAGCCTCTCGTTGTGTAATTGTGTAAGTAAGTCATAACCTTGTCTCCAACCCTAAAATATTATGTTGGTGATGCTTGTCTATTATCTCTTTATATTTGGCCGTTAACGCCTCCAACTATTGCCTCACTTCCATATGCCCTTCTGTCATCTTTCCCCGCATATGCTCAGCCACAATGTTCATCCCCAAGAGTTTGATAATGAAATTATATCAAGCATGTGTAACGGTGCTCGAATATAAACAATCTAGAATGGAGACTTGTTGATGGATCTATTAGGCATATTGTTGTAGGCAAACTCTGCTTGGAATAAAGTATTATTCCACTACTTCATATATTCCTTACAAAGGTTTCACAAGATATTCCCTAGGGTCAAATTCACCACTTCTGTCTGCCCATCAGTATGTGGATGACTCGAAATGTTGTAATACAACAAAGTATCCAACTGCTCCCACAAAGTCCCACATAAATGGCTAAGGAACTTGTTGTTACAGTCGAAAATAATGGTCCTTGGAATACCATGCAAACGAACAACCTCTCAGAAGAATAAGTGAACAATATGAGAAGCATTTGAGGTTTTTCTACATGGAATAAATATTGTCATTTTGGAGAACCTATCAACCACAACATATATAGAGTCCATACCACGTTGAGTCCACAAAAGACCCAACACAAAGTCCATGTACAGATCCTCCCACGGTGCATTTGGAATGGGTAAAGAAGTGTAGAGCCCGGTATTTTATGTGTGTCCGTGACATATGTAGCATTGCTTAACATACTTCTCCACATCTCTTTTCAACTGAGGCCAGAAGTAGCGCTCTTCAACCAAAGCAACGCTCTTATCTTTGTCCATGTGTCCTCTTAAGCCATCATTGTGAAGTTCCTAAATTATATGCTCGCATATGGATCCTCACGGAATGCAAAGTCGGATTGTTTTGAATAAGAAGCCCTTATGGACATGAAAAACCCCTGAGACTCTATGTGTCTTCAAGCACTAGGCCCAAATTTGTTAAAAGTTCTCATCTCTTGCATTCAACTCTGTCAAATGATCAAAGCCAATTTCCTCATTACGAATAGTAATCAGCAACATAGTACAAC